TTGTTCGAGCCAAGCACGCAAGTCACTTTCCGGAAATCATTTATAAAACATAATGACCAACCTTTATCTTTATAATAAAGATAAATAATTTTCCATACTATAAAAACTATTCAAAAAGACATGTTTAAAAAATACACTTTATATATGTATGTATGTATGTACATACTTATGTAGATTGCCGTCTAACGTCATGGTTGATAAGGATGAGTAAGTAACTGAGGGCGAGTTTTATAAAAAATTGATCTAATCGATATATGTATATAATGTATCGTATGTACATATGTATTTATTTCAATTGCATTTAACCTTTAATAAAATGTATGTATGTATGAATGGAATTCATTGTTCACATTAGAAATATATTTACACCCATGCATATGGAATTAGCCTTTTTGTAGGAGAAGTTCAAATTAATGACTGCAGTATATAATTTGTAAATATATACTTTGAAAAATCTAAAACACAATATTTTTGTTATTGTTTAAACATACATACATACCTACATACATACGTATTTTTTCCTGTGTCCAGTGCAAGTGTTTTTCTGTAACGTAAATGAGCTGTGATAAGTCATTTTCAAGCCACTCTGAGACGTCACGTTGTGTGCATTTTGCTCAAATTTCAGTTTGTTAAATAATATTATGTACCTACATATATCTTCACCTATCCGTATCATCCCAGCACTTACCACCTATGTTCATATAATATGAGGAAAGGTATATTTTTAAATTTTTTTAACGTATCCTTTAAAAGTTATCTTAACTCCAAAGTACACTTTTATTAGTAGGTATTTTTAACACGTTGGCTGCCAGAGTATCATCGTTGATTACGACAACAAATTGCCTATAGGTAACAATGTATCACCGGTGATACACGCCAAGGCCAAACATGAACTTTTTTGCTTGGCGCCTTTTTGCTCGTGAACACCGCACCGGTGATACACTGGCAGTCAACGTGTTAAGATACAAAAGATACAAGATTTTTATATGAAAGCCTCCGTCGCCATACAAAAAGTATGTGCATAAACTATAATTGGGCTTATTGTTGCCACTAGTTATAGTTATTCAAACTTCAGATTGAAATTATAGTTATTTAGTTTATTGTTATTATTGATTTTGCTCTACCTAATAAAAATGCACTCAACTTAACTAAACCTTCCTCTTCACTGTCCACGACTCTACCACAAGTGCATATTATCAGGTAATATGTTGATAAGGAAACAGCTGTTTCAATTAGGTGTTGGAATTCCAATAAAAACAAATGCAAAAGCAGTAATAGAATTTCGAGTGCATTTCGCACTTCGTTTATATCAGGAGAAACAAAGCCGTACCACATATTATTAACCGGCTCGTATTCAGCAAATAATCAAACTTAAAAGTGTTTACTATACCTCGGCTGACATCTTGAGTCTCCTTTGCGATATTCACTATTGAATAGCTACTTATATGGCGGAGTCCGTTTTACAATTGCGAATTCGACCAAGAATTCATGTTCGGCGTGTTGAACTATTTGGAAGTTTTTAATTTTTTAACGTACGTAAATTAACAATTAAACAAATTAATAAATCAATTAAATATAAAAAGTGGCGCCAATGTGTAACAAAGTTATAAAAATCATATAACATTCGAACATGTTTTGAACATAATTATTAAAAAGCAGTAAATTCAAATACATAAGTATGTGTTAGTTAAAATACGTAAAAATGATAATTTATTTTAAAAAATATTTATGTATGTGGTTTTTGGTGAGATATGACACTCGTAAATTAACAAATTCTACAAAAATTGCTTGCAAAGTGTAATGTCACATAATTACACACATACATATTCAAGCAAATTAAACACGCCACGTAAAGCAACAACAAATGTATTAGAAAATGATTAAAATCTCAAAGAAATCGGAAAAAACACAATTTGGTTATGTAAAGGTCATCAAATCTTCATCGGAAAGATTTTACAATCTTTTCAAAATGCTTGCACTTATAGATGTGTTTACTGATCGGAATATTTCAAAGAATGAAATATACTTACATATCGTCCCCTGAAATGCAAAATAACGTAACAACATTTTCGGAAATTCACAGTGGCATGAATGAAAACGAAATAAAACGGAACATGAGTGAAAAAATTTTAAAATTAGTTGAATCTGGTTTATATCTGAGCGCACAACCTGAAAATGTTGGACATATATATGTAATATTATATATATATATTTTCAAGTAGTTAATCGTAATCAATAGGACACTCAATTTCGAATTTTTTGATGATACGTTATTTTGCATTTCAAGCGACGATAAGTGGGTGGTCCACAAGTATTTGGGCGTTCGGCATCTTCCCATTTGCTTACAACTTTGTATAAACAATGCTTTTAATTTTATCACAGAATTACTTAAAACGGAACATAATAATTACAAAGTTTACACGCTATAGGAAAAATTACATAGTTTTTGCTTTTATTTCAGATAGCAAAATCTTTACAGGGAAGTAGTTGAACGGCATTAGTATTGCAAGGATACTACACAACAGTCACTAACTAAGGCCATATCCTGTTAAATTACATTAAGATCGCTTATTACGATGTATTAGATAATGCCGCTTATCGTCGAGAAAAGGATGACAAAAGAATGCGATTTGTATAGCTTGGTAATGGAACTTAAGCAGCGTTTATTTGTGAATCACTTTAAAGATTCCTTCCTTTTGACTTCACACTGCATATTTACCATACGAGGTGTGTTCAAAAAGTATCGCGAATTTTGTGGTTTTTCAAAAATTATTTATTTATTCATGAATATCTATTTTGTCCCCTTCAAAGTAATCCCCATGATATATTATACACCTGTCTCTTATACACATCTAGATTTACACTTGTGCCAACGGTTTTTCCAATCTTCGAAGCACTTCAAAAAATCATTTTTTTTATCTTCCTTAGCTCCTCCTTCGATGCCTTTCATGGGCCTCTTCAGTTTAGGGAACAAGAAAAAGTCACAGGGGGCCAGATCTGGGGAATACGGTGGCTGCGGCATCATTAGTGTGTTGTGTCTCGCACAAGCAACGATGTGTGAGCAGGGCGTTATCGTGGTGCAAAAGCCAATTTTTGTCACATCTTCTCGGCCTTCTGAGAACATTTTGTACCACCGATAAACGTTGCTTCGGTCCAAGGTAGCTGTCCGTATGCCACAGTCAACATTCGGAATGCTTCCGCGCACTTARTTTCGTTTTTCACACAAAATTTGATACAGGTTCTTTGATCCATTTTTTTGAATAGGTAAAAATCGAAGACGATCCAAAACACGTGCCAGCAAAGCAGCTGTCAACAATTAAATGAACATTCAAAATGGCCGAGCTTGTCGGCATAAGTGAGAGACATGAGTACCAACATAACGCCACAAAACATTTGAAATTCAAATATACGTAACCCGCGAAAATTCAAAATTCGCAATACTTTTTTGAACACAGATAAGATAAGATACATAGTATGTACATATGTTAATGATTTCTTAATTTCGCGCATTATGAATTAATTAAAATAAGATAAAACATTAACTTTGGCTGAACCGAAGTTAGAATGCCCTTAACAGGTGAATTTTTTATACAATAAAAAGGTATAAAAAGATTTTTACTTTAATTTGGATCGCTCACTTTGGATGGCAGCTAATACTATAGTGATGCTATCGGAATAATATGTTCGGAGATCGGAGACCGTTTGGATAATATATGCCAAATGAATAAAAATGTCGAACACAGAATTTGTCTCAAATTTTGTATTTATAACCAATTCCCTGTGCGGAATCGTTGCGAATGTTATAATAGGCTTAATTTGATTCAAAAACATAAGCCTAAGAGTGGTACAAAGCCTTCAAAAACGGTCGAGAGATCATTGAAGACGTGGCTCGTTCTGGACGACCTTCGACCTTTTCAACTGATGAAAACATTAGTGATGGAGAGATGGCAAGAGAGCACGACATTTCTCGCGAGTCTGCATCCACAACGTGTCACTGTTTAGTGAAGGCTTTCGGGTGGAGACATAATTGGACCGTACTTTTTTGAAAACGGCGGAACTTACAACCATTAGATTTATTTTAAAGAGGTTATTTAATATCACAGGCCTATTGCCCACAACCACGCCTGCTTGAAAGGAGGAGATTCAATGTTTAATCAATGAAATTCAGCCACATTTATGTAGAATAGTTATGTAAAGACGGGTAGGTCATTGCCCCATGTGTTATTTCATAAATAATAATATTAAAAGTACTTTAGAATTAAATTAAAAAATTGTAATCTAAGAACTAAAGCCGGTGTTTTCTATTTAATTCCAATTTTTCTTTAATTTTGAGTCATCCAATATAATATTCCTCAATTTAAAGTGAATATAATACGTTTGATGTGTAATGAAAACTGTTTTTGTATACAATAACAACTTTTCTTTTCTGTTATTGCATGCAAATACAGTTTTTATCACCATGTGTGATGGAAATAACTTCAGATATTGGCAAAACTTTATATTAAAACATGTTTCATAAGAATTCAGCATTAATTGTTCGACGAAACCGAGTGGTTTGCAATTAAATTAATATCTACATATGTATATTAAAATCATTTTCAAACATACAGAACATATGAAGATAAATTTAATATATTGCGTTGATGAGAAAAACTCATCTAGAGGGTCAAAATTCATAACGCTATTGATGTGAGGTCTAGCTCATCGTCTTCATTCGTATTAACCGCTAAACGTCTAAACCAAGGTATATCCAATACCATATTATACTTTCAGTCAATTTAGCTGGTACATCTTAACCGATATACCACATACCGTCGACAGACTACCAAAAATCTTATGTTAGTTATGTATATATACTATATATTACTAACAGAAAAAGATGATATCTGAGTTTCATTAAGATATCTCACATACTATCATAAATATTTTAGGAGTAAAGTCAAGCGGATGTTTGAAAATTTGGATAATAGTTATTTGGTTTTTTTTTTTATAAATTTCAGGACAAGGATACATGGTTTTTAGAAAAATACTCTTTTTTATTAAGATAGCTTTCATATAGACCGATATATGCAGTAAAAGATCAGCCGGAAACACGAAAAATCGTTATGGGGACTAAGGGAATTATTGATCTGTTTCTATCCATATTTGACATACACTCATCTTATTATTAGAATAATAAGTTCGCAAGAGGATTTGGGGTTTTAGTTCAATTCTCCATTCAGATTAATGGGACAAAGAGTTAAAAATATTTTATATGTAAGTATGTAAATTTGTGGTTTATTTGAAATTTCTCTAGTACTCACCGTTATTTTAATTTCGGCTCCAGGCGAAATTATTTCACCTTTCTTTTTAATTCAAAACTAAGAACTGGGCTAGACCTCATACACACATATGCATATATATGTACATACATATATTACTTGTATTTACATTACGATTTATAAGTATTCTGATTTTATTAGATATCATTTCAGATAAACATTGCAGTTATATACGTACATCAATCAATATAATATTAAAACGTCACACTCGAAATGACGAATCACTCTGAATTGGTGAATTTGCACAACGATAGTTCAGCACAAAAAGTTTCAATTGTTAATGGACTCGATAAAATAAAGCCACCGAAACCGTTGGGCGAACGGAGAAAAGCAGTATTGCGTCAGGTAATTAAAAACTCAAGAATAATCAAATACATTGATAATTTGTACGAAACTAATATCATTATAGGAGCTTATGGTACTTCTTGGCAATACGTGTGTGGTAGCATCGGGCATGTCCGTGGCTCTACCTTCTGTATCGCTAGCTCAACTAACAGATCCGAATGATATTTACCATCTGAACACCGAGGAAAGTAGTTGGTTTGGTAAGTATGATGGGTAGTATTAAAATATTCGGAAATCAATACTAATGATACATATGTATATGTAATTTTAAGATATAGTAATTGGATGACAGTGGTCAGATAAGTAAGGACTCGCAGTTTTGTTTTGAGATTTTAAAGATGATACCTCACCGCAATATTTAACGCTTTTTGACCACAATCCAAAGGTGTTTCTGTATCGTTTCGTTAATTTCGGCAGCAGAGTAATTCGTTGTATATGTGCCATGAGCAAAAAGTAGTAAGACTTCGTTCATAATTTTAAAATGCTTAAATTATTCTTCAAAGTCTATGTCGTCCCCATCTAAGTAACCGCTTGTGCTGGCTTTTTTTTTTTTTTAATACACGAAAGAGTGGTTAAAGTCAATTTCTGAAATGGTCTTCAATGCGCATAGCGATTCACGATTAATGTCTTCAATTGACTGTTCGTTTGACTTTGGTGAATAGCCAGAAGTCACTCGGAGCTAAATCAGACGAAAACGGTGGTAGCTGTACGATATTGGTTAAACATTTGACGAAGAACTCACAAAGAATCAAATCTGTATGCGGCGGAGTATCATCAGTCAAAAGTTGTCATAATTCCGGTCTCTTTTCACGAATAGCTTCGCCCAAACGAGTTTCTCGAGTCGGAAGGAATTCGGAGTGCACCACACCTCGATAATCGAACTGTAAACATAACATTGATTTTTGATCTATTTTAATATATTTCGGCTTCGGCTCACCTGTGCCACCATAACAATCGTTTGTTTCCAGGTCGCAAGCGTAGGTTCAGTCATCACCAGTAATAATACGTTTCATGACCTCCTGGTAGTCGGAAAGCATTGTTTCACGACGTTGATGCGAAATAATATTTTAATATGGATTTCACTTATCCTTCTTGTTTTCCAATGATGCCAGTAAGATCTCTGACTGTAAATCGTCGATTCTCGAGCACCAATTCCTTTATTTTATTGACGTGATGATCATCAATTATTGTTGATTGCCGTCCTGGACGTGGTTCGTCATCAACGCGTTATCGACACTCTTTGAATAACGTATACCAATCAAAACACTTGTTCGCGACAAACAATTATCACCGAAGGACTTTTCCAACATTCTGAACGTTTAGGTACAAGAAATTTGATTCCGCGCACAAAATTTAATGCGACTTCTTTGTTGAAAAATTTCACTCATCGTTAAATTCGCCGAATGCATTTATGTATGTATGTACATACATCAGAAAGACAAGCGTATTTAAACACTAAGTTTGATGTGATATTTGGCACACTTGGATGTCACTGTCACCACTCAACCACTCTGTTTTTCAATTTCTATACGCAAGTTTAAGAAAAGCAGATATTAATTTACTCATAAATGTACCTTCATACATATATATTATATTTATATGATTTAATTAAAAAATAAAGTTTCAAACAATAATAAAATTAAACAAGTAAGGAAGAGCTAAGTTCGGGTGTCACCGAACATTTTATACTCTCGCATGATAACGTGATTATCGAGATTTCATTATCCGTCATTTACATATTTTTTTATTTTGCTGTAAAATTAATTAGATTAGGTTAGGTTAGATTATGCACTGAGTTCATCGTGTTCGATATCAGGGACCTTGAAAAATTATGGTCCGATCACGACAATTTTTCCACAAGGGATACCTCAGCTCAAATACCGTATTTGTGTAAAGTTTTATTCCGCTATCATCATTGGTTCTTAATGTATATATTATACAGAGAAGGCATCAGATGGAATTCAAAATTGCGTTACATTGGAAGAAGGCGTGGTTGTGAACCGATTTCACCCATATTTCGTACATATTATCAGGGTGTTAAGAAAGTATTATATACCGAATTTAAGTCGGTCGAGAAGTTCCCGAGATATGGTTTTTGGTCCATAAGTGGGCGACGCCACGCCTATTTTCAATTTTAAAAAAAGGCCTGGATGCAGCTTCCTTCTGACATTTCTTCCGTAAAATTTAGTGTTTATGACGTTTTTTGTTAGTCGGTTAACGCACTTTTAGTGATTTTCGACATAACCTTTGTATGGGAGGTGGGCGTGGTTACTATCCGGTTTCCTCCATTTTTGAACTGTATATGGAAATGCCTAAAATAAATGACTCTATACAGTTTGGTTGACATAGCTATAATAGTTTTCGAGATATGTACAAAAAAGTTAGTAGGGGGCGGGGCCACGCCCACTTTTCCAAAAAAAATTACGTCCAATTATGCCCCTCCCTAATGCGATCCTTTGTGCCAAATTTCTTTTTAATATCTTTATTTATGGCTCAGTTATGACACTTTATAGGTTTTCTAATTAATTAATTTTCTTATGGAGCCAAGAAATACGTGTGCCAAGTTTCATCATGATATCTCAATTTTTACTCAAGTTACAGCTTGGACGGACAGACAGACATCCGGATTTCAACTCTACTCGATCTGATCACTTTGGTATATATAACCCTATGTCTGACTCTTTTAGTTTTAGGACTTAAAAACAACCGTTATGTGAACAAAACTATAATACTCTCTTTAGCWACTTTGTTGCGAGAGTATAAAAATAAATAAATAAATAAAAGATACATTGGTACGATTTGAACAATTTTAAAGATGCTTTGGACAATGATGATATCTTGTCAATTAAAAGTACTATAGTTATCCGATTATAACAATTTCTTTGGGGACTATACCGATGGCTTGGACAATAGTTCATGCCAAATTAAATGGTGATATCTTATTGGACTCAATTCCAATCGTTCACTTTGTATGGCAGCTATATGTTATAGTGGTCCAACATCGGCGGTGATGAGAAATGAGCAGCTTCTTTGGAAGAAAAGCACGAATGCAAATTTGAAGGACTAGTTTGGTTACATACAGATGGACGGATAGACAGACGGACATGGCTAAATCAACTCAGCTCCTTTTGCTGATCATATGTTTATATAATTTAAAGGGTCTTCAATATTTCCTTTGAAGTGTTACAAACATTATGGCAAACATAATATACTTTATTCAAAGTTTAAAAAAAAAAAATAACACAGCAATGATAATGGAGAGTAGCATAGTAACGTTTAAGTTATCTTTCTCGACAATTTCAGCTTCTGTCAATAGTATGGCCTGTCCGCTGGGAGGCTTATTAGTAAGTTATCTTATGGATCGCATCGGTCGTAGAAATACGATGTTATGCACGAATTTCGTAGGTATTATCGGATTATTGCTGATTGTCTTTGCCCCCCACCAAACCACACGTGATGCTATTTATATACAGTTACTCGCTGGCAGATTTCTATGTGGTAAATTACTGAAAAGAAATATAAATAAACATTACGTAAACATCTAACAAATATTATTATCGTCAATGTAAATACATACGTAGGTCTTATGATTGGTTTATCACTGTCCCCAATTGGTTCGTATGCGGCGGAAATTAGTTTACCACGGATAAGGGGTCGTCTGATTATGGGTACATCGATAGCAATAGCCAGCGGTATATTGCTTATGTATTTGTTAGGTTATTTTATACGGGTGAGTATGGTATCTAATTTGAATAATTAATAATAAATCGAATTAAACGAGTACTGAAACATTTCTTCGTGACAGGACAACTTTAAAGTAATCTCCATTATATCTGTCATTTATCAATGCTTGGCGTTCTGCTGTTGCCTTCCCATGCCTGAATCCCCAAGTTGGCTGCTACAGAAGGGCTATGAGGAGCGGGCTCGCAAGTCGCTGAAGTATTTTCGGGGTCTCTCAAAAAATGGTTAGTTCCAAAATCATTATGTATATGTATGAAATATTCTGATTTCTCGCTAAAACAGATAATAACATTTACGAGGAATTCGAAACAGAATTGGCACTCATCAAGAAAAATTCAGACAGCAGTCGGACAGCCGCTGCCAATGAGTCGCTTTTACAGGCCATAAGAGCGCCGGAGGTCTACAAACCACTGCTCCTGATGATCGGCTTCTTTTTCTTTCAACAGTGCTCTGGAATTGTTGCTGTGATTGTATTTGCAGCACAAATCGCTACACGCGCTGGTGTCTCTGCCGATCCGCTGCTGGTGGCTGTGTTTGTTGGTGTTGCTCGTATAATTACCACTTTCTTCACGAGCAAGATTTTCGAAAAATGGGGACGTCGCCCAGCGGGTATAGTTTCAGCGACCGGAATGACGATTTGCATGGCATTGCTTGCAGCTAACGGTTGGTGGCCAGTTATCGGCGAATATGTCCCATTATTGCCTGTTTTTGCCATTTTGCTGCACATAATCTTCTCCACAATGGGTTTGCTAACCCTGCCATTCTTCATGATCTCAGAGGTTTTTCCACAACGTGTACGCGGCAGCGCCAATGGGTTCACATTGTGTGTTGGCCTTCTGTTCTCCTTTAGCGTAGTGAAGCTGTATCCCACCGCGGAAGCTGAGATAGGAACAGCCAATTGTTTCGCTTTTTTCGGTGCGATATCTCTATTGGCTGTGGCGTTCATTTATTTCGTTGTGCCAGAGACGAAAGGCCGCACGTTACTGGAGATTGAAAACTACTTCCGTACTGGACGGAAAGTGAGCAATGCAGAAGCTGCAGGTCAGCAGTCACAAATAGCGATGGAGGAGGCTGCCGGAATATACCGTTCCGAACAGGAACTTAATGAAATATTCTTGAAATTAAGTAAAGTAGACGAAGACGGCGAAAACAAACTAGACGCCAAAGAGTGATAGACTGTAGTAGTGAAAATAGGCAGGAAATATGTTTATTTGTCGAAACTTTTAAATATGAGTTTAAAATGCCATATCTTTTATAAGAATAACTGTACTTGAAGTAAATATATGTATTAATAATTAGACTGTGATGTAAAATTTAAGGTTTAAAAGTAAAAGGCTTTAACTCAATCATGATTTTGTGGATAATGTGTATAGTGTATACTTACATATAATATTTACTTTGTACGAAAATCTATTTGAAAAAAGAACCGAATACGGAATACGTGATTGCATATACATACATATGTAAATATGTACAAGTATATTAGAGTGCTCCAAAAAAATTTTTTGAATTTTTTCAACTCTTACCCCCTCAAATTTAGTTATTCAAAAACTAAAAATCCTCCCTCAAGCCAGGCGCTGTAACTTAACTCTAAGTGGGCGCTATTTTATTTTTAGGTTACCATACATAAAACACAGGAATTTTAGTTTTTTCATTTAAATTCGGTTCTCAAAAATAACCATCGCATATTCATAAAGTTGGCTTTTCAATCTTTAAAAATTAATAATTTTTGAAAAAGTAGGAGTGGCCCCGTCTTCTAACAAGTTTAATGTTCATATCTCCTAAACCATTGAAGCTATAACAACCAAATTCGCTGAGTGCAAACCTTAAAGGAACTTCCAGATGAATTCGGATAACCCCGCTCATTCCTCATATAACGGTATTGTTAAAAACTACGAATAGGGAGATAAATCAATAACTATTTACTCTAGAGACATTAAATTTTACTAACGAGATGGTATGAGAGAGCTTTATGGGGTCCGGTGTAAAAACTGGACGATGGGACCCGACCAACCGATTTCGACAAAATTTAGAATGTGACATGATTTTCATATTCCAATGGAAAAATGAAAAATAAAAATGAACGAAATCAAACAACAATCACGCCTACTTCCCATATAACACAATTTTAAATTATACTTGATTCGTTCAGTTTCCAGTACACAAAAATGAAGCAATTAGTATAACGGGATAAAACTTTGCACGAATAATGTCTTGAGTCTGTGCCATCTTATGTTTGACCAAAAATGTTTTAGATCCAATAAAAACTGTTCAAACCCCTAGATACCGAATATTTAGAATCCGGTATCTATAGTTGGCTTTTGATTGAAAATGTCGATTGTCAAGGACAATCCTTTCCTGACAATGGTATGTCTGTATGTCAAAAATGAGTTGAGTTCGGTTACACCCGAAGAAGAAGAGCTCTATCCCTAATGATGATATGATTGATGTTGGGTGTCCTGATCACTTATGTTTATTGGGGGAAACATTATTTATCCTTCATAAGTTTAATTTTTTATTGATAACCGGTTTATTCGGTAATTCAAAAAATCAGTAAAATTCGATGCAAACTGGTCCATTCGAATTGCGTACTCAAGCTGAATCAAAAGAAAAAATGTATATATCGGTGGCTAACCCCTCACAAAGCACTGGCACACACACCACACTTGGCCCATTGCAATCCAAGGAGATGAATTCGAGCAATTATATAATACATATCAGCGTCTAAAATAATATCGGCAAAGACAGAGGAGGGGAACAAGAGCATCAGAATGTGGCACCAGCGGTGACAATCCGCATTCAAAGAGCACTGGACTCATAGAATTATTCCGGACAGCGCCTCGTGGGTAAACAGATGGCACATGGGTGCTTTAGAAGCTAGCTGTACAGATTCCACAATGACATTAGCTCAAACTCGTCGACGTGTACAGAGTATATGGTTTTTTTCAAATACATGCAAGGAAAAACTTAAAACAACACTAGGTGGTAGCTTTACGGTCGAGAATCTAATGAGACTCATGGTGCATCTGGAGACTTAAACTTTCTGTCCCACCTTTAAGAATCGACATTTTGGTTATTATACCCTGAACAGGGTATATTAAGTATTCCACGTATAAATAAATGACCAGTACGTTGAGCTGAGTCGATTTCGACATGTCTATATAACTGTGTATATACGAACTAGTCCCTTAGTTTTTAATATGAATAACCTTTTGAAACTATAACATATAGCTGCCACAGAAACTGCACAATCGGATTCAAGTTCTTGTATGGAAGACTTTCACATTTAACAATGTATCTTCACGAACACACAGATTATTTTCTAAATAACTATAGCATACAGCTGCAATACAAACCGAACGATCGGAATCAAGGGCTGGTATGGAAAACTTTAGCAAGGTAATAATATTATATAATATCCGAAAAAATTGTTCAGATCGGATTACTATAACATATATGCAGCTTCCAAACAAACTGAACATTTAGTGAACATTTACATTTACTAAAACATACACTTGTGAAGGGTGTATTAGCTTCGGTGCAAACGAAGTTAACGTTTTCTCTTGTTTTTTCTTTTTTTTTTTTTTTTTTGGTATGAAGCGTTCAATGCTACAGTTTTACTAAACGACCTTAATCTTTTGCAAAAAAATTACGTTGGATAGAGGTTGCATAGGGTTGGTTGAAGTAATCGGATTGACTTCTAGTAAGGGTGTTCAAAATCAAAATAGCTCGCTTTAAAAGGGGAATCTTCCGGTTGGCCATCAACACCGTAAAAGACGTTGCAGCTATCCGTTCCATGGTGAAGAGTCTCCCGTAGCTATGAGACAGCACCAAACTGCGCCCTGTGCGTAACGAAGAGGTCCCTAGACTCCTAAAGGCTCACATTTTTATTAGAGGCAGTGAGGCTGTAATGCCCAAAGAGTCGATATTGAGTATGTTGGTCAAATAGAATACGGAATGGAGGACGAGTCTGTGGTAGATATTTGTTCGATATTCACCCCAGAGGTTGACTTTATTGTCATAGGTACGAGTACGTAGATTATGAGAGTGGTGTCGGGGGCATGCTGTTTCAAAGGCACCCATGATGCATTGTGTAACTTTTCCTACTATGTATTAAGTTTAAATCTGACACGGAACATATCCGGGCAGGTACTGAGAGTGCACATATAGAACGACCCAGTTCGGTGATATGTTTATTGTAGTTTATTTTGCATCTTTCTATTCCCGTACATCGGTTGCTCCAGGCCTCCGATATTAACTTCGAAGTCAGTGTACCTGCGGTCGGAAAAGGAGTGCTCTAAAGAGACCTGCCGATCCGATATTAGAGCCACCGCTTTCTACTGCATATATAGTTGAACATAGCCATTCCTCTAGGATTAAAGCTCGAGCTATCCCTGGCTGTATGTACCAATAATAAATTACATATTTGTTCTTTCCGCGCACTTCATTATCTGCTTCAGCTCTGGGCTTAGGCGGAAATGGGGGTGAAATAGGTAGGTACAGTGTCACCAAAAGCACTGTAATATTGGCAAAGAACTAGGGGGAATCCTCATCTCCCTCCCCTTGCTAACTTTACGACATGGCTACCAGGTCTACTCCCGTTGACATCTTGACCGATGGCGGTTCCATCTGCCTCTCGCCACATGCGTTTCCAGAGTTAGCAATAACAGGAGGGCAAATCTCCGATGGAAGTGCAGTCTCAACCTGACAGTGACCAACCCTGAATTGAACGGTGCAGAATATTAGGAGGGCCCTGCAACCTTACAGACTCTAGAAAAGAGAACGAGTCTTGGATTATACACGTATAATCATTTTGGGTTTTCTAAATCTTATGCCGAATATAGGTAGGTGTATAAGTTATACATATACATATATTGTATATATACGTATATAAAACTGCTAAGATTCAGATCCTCTGACTGACGTTTTACATATTAAGCTTGGGATCCGGATCTCAAGAATTGTTTAAACTCCTTGTAAAAAAAACGAAATGGTCAAGAAAATTTCGTGCGGTAAATGTAGCTTTGAATAAATCTAGTATTAATTTTAACAAATTTTTTTTAATAAAATGCATATTTGGTAAACCCGGTTTTGCGAAGAAACAGGAAATGAACTGACCAACCTTCATTCATATTCCTTAAATTACAACGAAAATATTTATATACATACACACATAAGGTTATTTTCTTTGTTTATTTTCTCTTGCGCTTCTAATGAGGATCATTCTCAATGTGTAACCAGCTGTCAAAATTACTTGACTACGCTTGAGAAATAAGGAATACTTAGGATCTGGATACAGAATTTTAACTTAAAATTATTACTTTGCAGCCTTCTTTAATTTTGTATGGTTTTGAACACATGACATAATATAACACAGAAAATTACCACACATAACACATTCTTTTTAATTAAGTCTTCTTGTTTCTAAAAACTAATACATACTTATACTATATGTAACTCTAAAATGAGAAAAGTTTTTAAATATATTGATCTAAGTCAAGAATAATAAAATAGAAGATTACGCCAACTGTCATAAGGTGACGTAATTCTTTTGAGTTAGGAAAACGAAGAATACAACAACATGTGAATCGAAAACAAAAACCCAAACACTTTTGTTAGTTCGTGAAATAGTTAATATATTAGAGTAAATTAAAAATATAATTAAAATAATAACGTTGCGGGAAAGTATATAGTATATATGTATATTTCAATACTTTCATCTATTGACCACATAATTGCCAACTAAGTGAACTATTACGATGTATCCAGTAGTAGTTTACTTTATAAAACACAAACATACGAGGTGTGTTCAAAAAGTATCGCGAATTTTGTGTTTTTTCAAAAATTATTTATTTATTCATGAATATCTATTTTGTCCCCTTCAAAGTAATCCCCATGA